GAGAGAGAGAGAGAGAGAGAGAGAGAGAGAGAGAGAGAGAGAGAGAGAGAGAGAGAGAGAGAGAGAGAGAGAGAAAGAGAGAGAGAGAAAAAAAGCTCCTCATCCTAATCGACCTTGCTCATTGACTTACCCTAACCGATCCTATCCGAGGTCCCGTACATCCCCCTTGCAACCCCCCCCCCCTTTAAGACTTTCAGGTGGATGGGCGTGGGTGATGGAAGAGGAAGAAGGGTCGGGGGTGGTCGGCTATGGTGGATGGATGTGGGTGTCGGAGGAATGAGGAGGGTTGAAGGCATTCGGCTACGGTGGACGGGTGTGGGTGACGGAGGAGGAAGAAGGGTTGGGGAGGTCCGACTATGGGGGATGGACGTGGATGATGGAGGAGGAAGGAGGGTAGAAGGTGCTCGGCTATGGTGGACGGGTGTGGGTGATGGAGGAAGAAGAAGGGTTGGGGGTGGTTGGCTATGGTGGACGGGTGTGGGCGATGGAGGAAGAGGAAGTGTTGGAGGTGGCTGGCTATGGTGGACGGTCGTAGGTGATGGAGGAGGAAGAAGGGTTGGGGGTGGTCGACTATGGTGGACGGGTGTGGGTGGTGGAGGAAGAAGAAGGGTTGGGGATGGTCGGCTATGGCGGACGGGTGTGGGTGATGGAGGAAGGAGAAGGGTTCGGGAGGTCCTGCTATGAAGGATGGACGTGGGTGATGGAGGAGGAAGAAGGGTTGAAGGTGGTCGGCCATGGTGACGGGTGTGGGTGATGGACGAAGAAGAAGGGTTGGAGGTGGTTGGCTATGGTGGATGGGTGTGGGTGATGGAGGAAGAAGAAGGGTTGGAGGTGGTCGGCTATGGTGGACGGGTGTGGGTGATGGAGGAAGGAGAAGGGTTGGAGGTGGTTCGCTATGGTGGACGGGTGTGGGTGATGGAGGAAGAAGAAGGGTTAGAGGCGGTCGGCTATGGTGGACGGGTGTGGGTGATCGAGGAAGAAGAAAGGGTTGGAGGTGGTCGGCTATGGTGGACGGGTGTGGGTGATGGAGGAAGAAGAAGGGTTGGATGGTGGACGGGTGTGGGTGATGAAGGAAGAGGAAGGGTTGGAGGTGGTTGGCTATGGTGGACGGGTGTGGGTGATGGAGGAAGAAGAAGGGTTGGGGGTGGTTGACTATGGTGGACGGGTGCGGGTGACGGAGGAGGAAGGAGGGTAGGAGGTGGTCGGTTACGGTGGACGGGTGTGAGTGATGGAGGAGGGAGAAGGGTTAGGGTGGTCCGGCTATGGGGGATGGACGTGAAAGAAACCCTGTTAGACGTATCCTAACTCCTAGCCCTGTGCCTCCGTTTTCTACTTTGGGTGCTGGCTGCCCCATATCCCTTTCGGAAGTCACCGATCACAGCCAAAAATGGGGAAGGGACCGATCTGCAGCCCACACACACACACACACACCGAAGGTCACCGGGTACTGCCAGGGGTGAAGGTGGACAACACAAGTTGCCGGAAACCGCAGCATTCACACATACACACACCGAATGTCACTGGGTACAGCAGGGGGTAAAGGTGGACTGCACAAGTTACCGGGGACTGCAACACTCCCACATACACACACCGAATGTTACTGGGTACAGAAGGGGGTAAAGATGGACTGCAGAAGCTACCGGGGATCGCAGCACTCACACATACACGCACTGAAAGTTACTGGGTACAGCAGGGGGTAAAGATGAACTGCACAAGTTACCGGG